AGTCTGGTGCAAAAAAGACCAGGCTTATGAGCAGAAGAACACCATCCCTATGGTCAAACATGGAGGTGGATCTGTCTTGTTATGGGGGTGTTTTGCTGTTGCAGGAAGTGGAAATCTTGACGTCATGGATTCTTTGAAGTATCGGGTCGTTTTGGCAAAGGTTGTGATGCCTTTGTTTTAGAGACTAAAGCTTGATGATCAGTGGACTTTCCTGCAGCACAGCCATCCCAAAGTATACATGCAAATTACTGAATCTTTGTTAAGGGATTGGTCGTAAAATGTTCTTGAGTGGCCAGTTCAGTCTTCATATTTAAAGGGGTCATAGGATGCTACATGCACTTTTACAAGTTGTTTGAACTGAAATGTGTGTTGGCAGTGTGTGTACACAACCACCCTATAATGATAAAAAAAATTTTTTTTAATCTGGTTAAATGTTTTAGGGAATGCGCCCCCGATCTACATAAATGCGTCTATGTTTGCCAGAATCATTCATGATACAGCCTCATCTACCGAAGAAGTGAGTATAATGTTTTGTAATGAATCTTTGCAAATCGCTTTTCCTAATAAAGTGCTAATTAGCAAGTTTCACGATGAATGCGGCTAAAGTAAACAGTCTCTCTGAGAGCAGCTCGGAAGAGAGGGGCGGGGTCAGCAGAGCTCATTAACATTTAAAGGAAAATGCTACAAAAATGGCTTGATCTGAAAAGAGCTGTTTTTGACAGGGTAAGAAAATGTGTTTTTTACACTACCATTGAGAAATTTTAACCAAACTATGTTACAGACTTTTCATTAAGTTCCCAAAGAATCATATCAACTTGTGGAAAATGGGCATCCTATGACCCCTTTAAATCTCATTGAAAATATTTGGTGGAATTTGAAGAAAGCAGTGACAACATGAAAACTAAAGACAACATGAAAACTAAAGCTAATTTGTGACCCTAGACCACAAAACCAGTCATAAGGGTCAATTTTTCGAAATTGAGATTTATACATCATCTGAAAGCTGAATAAATAAGCTTTCCATTGATGTATTGTTTGTTAGGATAGGGCAATATAAATATTGAGAAAATCGCCTTTAAAGTTGTCCAAATGAAGTTCTTAGCAATGCATATTACGAATTAAAAATTAAGTTTTAATATATTTACAGTAGGAAATGTACAAAATATCGTCATGGAACATATCCCAATGATTTTTGGCATAAAAGAAAAATCAATAATTTTGACAATGTACTTTTGGCTATTGCTACAAATATACCCCAGCGACTTAAGACTGGTTTTGTGGTCCAGGGTCACATTTAACTGACAACGACTAATATATGGCTAATATATTGATATTAATGATACTAACTTATATGGCAAAAGACATACCACAACCACCCTTCAATTCTTCGGCTTAAAAAACAGTTCAGATTGCCATACAGTTGAAGACTGAAGACACTGATGAGACACTTTAAAGAAATGGTTCATTTATCAGCCATAGTCTATTGTATTATCCCACATAATGCACCGTTGCCCGGGATTTTAATGCATGCCAGGAAAAAAGAGTCACCGACAGATGAGTCACAGCTTAAAATGAAACTATTAGTGTATTCACATCTCATTCTGATGCTTTTAAAACAGGTTAGTTATGAAACAAATATGAACTTCTCTTCTGGATCTATGGGAGATCAGGATATTGTATATTTTGGTAAGTTTGGTAGGCGATGCATATTTGCTGAATCAAAGCTTGTTCTTATAATAGTGCAGTAATCCTTTTTAAGTTATTGTTTCACATTATTGCAGAAGTCAATGTAGCTTTCCGGACCTGGATTGCTTGGTGTAAGTATTGTTATGGGAATGGTATAGATGCATATAGTCAGGAGAAGCTTGAGTGAGTGAGGTAAGGGAGCGTGGAAGTGAACATTGTGCCCTTGAGACTGGGTCAGCGGCCCCTTATAGCTGTGATTTTTATGAGTACATTGGATCCCAGAATCTGTTTTCACTACTGCAGATTATTCTTCCTGTCCAGCTCTGAAAAGCCAAACTACTAAATAGATTATACATTGATCATACACTCTTGGGTCTTGAGACAACATTGTGAATAAACAACTTTTATGAGCTGTTTTTTGTTAAATGAAGGCTTACAAACTCCTTAGTTATAGGCTTAATTTGTCATAAAAAAAAAAAAAGGAAAATTGCAGTGTTTTTTTTTTAAGATTTATTTTTGGCGTTTTATGCCTTTTTTATTTAGATAGGACAGTAGGTCGACAGGAAGCGAAGTGGGTGAGAGAGAGAGGGGGGTGGGATCGGGCAAGGTCCTCGAGCCGGGACTCGAACTCGGGACGCCCGAAGCGCAAAGGCGCTACATGTCGGCGCACTGCCCACGAGGCCATCTGCGCCGACATATTGCAGTGTTTATCATAAATGAATTAAACTTAGACATTATACGTGCAAATCAAAAATGGACAAAATCAAGTCCGTCCCAACATTTTTTGTTTTCTCGTTTGAGAAATTTAGATGTATGTCACAGTAGTGAAGGAAAATTTAAGTGTGTTTGTTTGTTTGAAAGAAAGATTTCTTTCTGACAATACAGAGATTCATTTTACAAAATAAACTTCTTTTATAAGGTTTCAAAGCTGTATTTTTTTTTTTGTCAAAAACGTCAGATAAGTCTCATTCTGTATGCTCAATTCATTCTTATTTTAAATTCAGTGCTAGATTTCTCAGTTTATATTAAATATTTGATATGACAGTTCTGTTATTTTTATATCAGATTGTGTTGACATACTGTGTGATGGGCAAATAAGGAAACATTTTGTGAGTGAATAGAGTTTGCATGAAAACATAAGTGAATACCTCTGAATCCAAAAATAAATACATTGAAGTACACAAACTTTAGTTCTGCACTTTTCACCCACTACTGAAGAATCAGTTTTAAATTTGTTCAGTGGGTTTCTGAAAGATTACCTAACATTAATACTCATATAGCATCACTAAGAACAACTTTTACAGCTTTTGAATGCAGAATTAATGTTGTAAACATTTTAGCTCATTCACACTGACTTGCCCTGTCAGTTCAGTAATTGCAGGGACAGTTTTTATGGGTTAAGTGTCTTGAACAGGGTCCATAAAAAAAAAGAATTGTTTCTCCTAGTTTAGATTTAACTTGCAATCTTACTATTTGCCACTCTGATCCCAAATATCATCTGATAAATGTAATTTTAACAATTCCAGATCTGCTGGAGTATTTACATGACGAAAATAATAGGGATAATCCATTAAGCTGATTTTGATGTTTCATTTGGTAATTATTTCAGCTTGCAGCTATTATGATCAGAGTTCATGTGAGAGATGTTATCATTAGACGCCAGTGTCATAAAGACATATGCGTGCAATATTGAGAGCCTGTTTGTACCATTGTTAAAAAATTAATGAGGCCTAGCCAGATAATGTTGAGAGCTGTGCAAACATATTGCCTTTGCCTTCACCATGTGTGTATGTGAATATAAATGTATTGCCGCAGTGTTATCAAAAGCATGCTGTGTGGTTATATATGTCGGCCTTCGAGAAATCCTACATTTTCTAAATGCCTCCATGCTGGAGATAAAAAAGGCAGACACTTTGTAGCATCAATTATTGATGCACAGCATGAAAGCAAATACTATCTCGCTCTTCTTTTATTGGTTAAAAATATTTTCTGACCCACTGGTGCTTTCACGTTTTGTCTCGCACACACGCTAACACTTTGTAATTTGATTATTCATTCATCTTAAAGAGGTTGAATTGTGAAGTTTTAGCCTTTTGAATGTCTTTGATTCCTTCTGATATATGGTGAAACAAGCATTAGCAATGTGGAATAAATACCTCGTAGCGTTTCCCTTACATGCCGACATTGATTCCCAACAAAAGGCTGCAGGTTCGTAGCGTTTCTGTTTGCTAGTATATGCATCTTTTCCCCCATTAGAGTCAATCCGGTTCACTCCTCTTTGTGCCTGTAAGAATAAAATTTGCCTGATATATGAGGATGAGGAATTGTGGGACATGAGGAATGAGTTCGGTGAATCTAGGTTGAGTAAATATATCAGTGTGATTTATATGGCTCTTAATAAATCCAACTTTACACCGGGGAAAGCACTTATCCAATAAGATGGCAGGTTCAGCCAAATGTAGCCAATCAGCCCAGGAAAAGCCTGGTTCATTCAATTGAGCTGAGGGAGTGATTTAATTGTGAAGCTATTGAGGCCGGAGTGGATCAGGCGCTAGCTGTTAGCCATGAATCTAGCAGGCATTTCCTGTTTGTATATCGCTGAGTGACTCGCTCGTTTCCTTTCTACAATCCCCTCATCCCACTCCTTGTCAAACATGTGCAGCGTTATGAAGCGGATTGCTAGTTGTCAAGCCTGTCTAATAGAAGTTATTGGAGCAAGCAGGCATCTCACGCTTTCTCGCCTCACTGGTGTGAATGTTGCCTCGACGTGTTGCACCTGCTGGAATGTCAAGCGGCTGAAAATTATGGCGTTATTTTAATGACAAATGTCGAGAGCGCATTATTGTAGCACGAAAGCACATTAATACAATGCGCGAGCGTGAATCTCTCTGCTCGCGAGCGGATTTCCTTTGCTCTCGCACAAAACCGGACGCTCGCGCTCAGATAGACGCTGCTCTCGCCCGGAGAGAGTGCACGCACTTATGCGCGTCCGGTTTTGTGCGGGAGCAAAGGAAATCTGCGTGCGAGCGGAGAGATTCGCGCTCGCGCATTGTATTCATGTGCTTTCGCGCTACAATAATGCGCTCTCGACATTTGTCATTAAAATAACGCCATAAAAATGGTTTGAGTGAATCTGTTGTGATTCCAGACCACTGAACGGGTCTGGCCTGATAACGTGTACTCGTCTGGAGTGATAAAGTGTCTGTGTTGGATGTGATCTTTGTGGCTGTGGGGCCCCTGGCAGAGTTTGTTTTTGTTGTTTACCAAATGCTATATAACCACCGTCTCTGTTTCTCTCGCTGTCTCTCATTCAGTGTGGATCTGGTACACTCTCAGCTGAGAGTGTGTGAAGGTCGCAGCCTGCCAGAGCTGGGCTTGAAACAGGACAAGATACGGATCAATGGCTATGCCATCCAGTGCCGTGTGACCACAGAGGACCCGGCACGTGGCTTCCAGCCTGACACGGGAAGACTGGAGGTAGGTTAACATCCTACATTCAACAGCTGGGCTATCGCACATCTCCCCTCAGCAATGTTTCCAGAGAAGAAAACATTTAAGAGATTTGTTTTTATTTTTTTTATTTTTTTTCTGACTGTTATTTGAAGGAGACTGCAGTGGACATTAGCCATCTGTTGTCAGCAGTATGTGGAATTGTGCATGTAAATGTATATATTTTGCAGATTTTATTATAGCTGAAGTATTTAAATTCAGTATTCAAATATGGTATAGCCCATCATCACAAACTATTCCAACAACAAAAATATGATGAATTGTGTTGATACTGAGCTGGGGTTTTTAAACTTACAGTATGTAACTTAATTTATATTTATGACAGTATAGTGTAATATTATAGTTATTTTTTTAACAAAACGATATGCAGATTTATTTATCTTACTGTTATACCTACTACTATCAGTAGAATAAAGCAATTGCAATTAACCTTGTGATTTCTGACTACATTTCTGATCAGTCCTTCATTCAGAAACCTAATTTCCTATTTATTAATTTAATCAAATTTGGTGAACATCATGAAATCATGAAGTTAAACATATTTCATTAATAGCTTAAGTGTACATGTTAACTTTGACATCCTTAAAATACATAATTAATTGTTTTTTTTCTCCCTCAGGGCCTTGTATATGACCATGTTCGGTATTCTTCTATATTTATTCTATTTTTATAACATATGGCTTTTCATGGTGGTGTTATTGTTCTGTGCAGGCTGGGAGAAATTATGAGTGTAGTTTCATAGTTGTAGTTTAGTAGTAGTTTAATACTAGTTACGCAAAACCGCGTTCATAATCACAGACATTTTAATCGCGCGATTATGAAATCAAAGAAATCGTTCTGCGATTATGAAAGCTGTTTGCGTAGCTTGTCAGTGAACTAATCAGCTCTGTGTAGTAAATGCTGCTCCATCTGAAAGCACATGAAAATACCACACTTAATAAAATGTTTTTACTCCAAACTCACTTCATAACGTCAGTTGAGTGTTTAAAGTAAATCCTTATGTGAGATGATGTGGCTTCTTACACAGAATAAGGCACGCAATATATTTCATAGTATTCTAAGCAGTGATAAAGACTATGTCAATTAGCATTGCATTAATATATACTTTATTATAATAAAAATTATAATAAGATGAACTCAGATAAACCATATATTGTCATAGTCGTGTGTTTATTAGTCATGTTGAATCAATGAAAGCAGTTAAATCTTCTGGTCATTCAGCAACCGCTATAGGGATTTCCTGGATTTCTTCAGCAGGGGTATTTGGAGTTTCCGCATGAGAGCGCCCTCTGGCTTTCGGATGGAGATTTACTACTGATCACAGAACCGTGCTTCCCTGACAAGATGCACATGACAATCGCAACTTTTGCCAAATCGCAACAATCGCGATTGTGATTTAATTTCGATTAATCGTGCAGCCCTAGATATAACCGTAAAATGCAGATTATGCGCTGAGGAAACATATCTCACACATTAAACAGCTCATGCAACTGTCAAAGCGCCTGACAGGACGAGCCGTGTTAAACATTACGCTAATGCACTAGCTAATGCACTAGCTTGAAGTTTAAAATGAAGCGTTCTCATGTTTTGGGCAGCTTGGATCTGCTATTTTTAGATGTATTTTGTCCATAGAAATGCGTTATTCACTGCTGTAATTTGACGTGACTGGCAGAAGTTTTCCGTGGGCAGATGTGACTAATCGATAATGACATTCGTTTATTATCGATTTTATCGATTAGTTGTTGCAGCCCTAAATATCAGTACAGGCTACTTTCTAAGTCCTGGGCTCTGTCCTAAATGACATACAGTAGTATATGTGGTCTCATTTCATGATTCAGGAGGGTGCTCACAGGCGTCCCCTTTTGGGACTGCTATGTGCCCATGATGAGTACTTTTTGCTGACTTGTTAAGTGTAAACGCCTGGAACGACCACAAGGGATGACGGGCTCTTCTTCCAAATATTGGACATTGCTGAAAGCTCTGGTGTAAATCGAACACTGACCACCACAAACACGTCCCACACACATTCTGTAGCTGCGTCCTTCTGAAGTGTGTACCTGCATATGGTGATATCGCGGAGGTGTGAAATTGTCTGAGATGTTGCTGACGGAAGCTTTTACCTTTGAGGCTGTATAGAAATGATTTGTTTGTGGATGAATAATTGAACAAATATTGATATCAGCTTTCTGTGCCCAGTCAATTTTGAGCTGCAAGCCTTACGTCTGTCCAAATATCTCACAGATGCAACTCGTGCTGTCTGTTTGTGCAGTTATCTGGTTTTGAGCTACAACGTTAACCGGGGTCTCTGAGGGTCTCTGTTCGAGATCTTGCAGGCTAGATGTGTATATATACATAGAGATGCCCCAAGGATACATCTAGCCCACAAACCACACGGTATAATCATCCAGTTATACCCACACTCCACCAGCTCTTTGACTAGACAACCCTGTATGGTCTATATGCATCCTCTTATGTGCCATGCCTGGGTGAAATCTTTGTTCTTCCATCCAGCCACAGGGTCTTGGCTGTATCAAAAGAGAGCTGGATCTCTCTGATAAGGATGCTCCTCCATTACCTTTAGAAAACTGGTTGGCGCTCGGCTTCAAAGACTGACATGGACGTCCTGTGATGTTGGAAGAATGTTTCCACGTAAGAGGGATGAGGATCTATGCAGATGGAGAGATGAAGGGAGAGGGGCGGGAGATGCAGAGAACTTGGGTGAAGTTTAAATGTTATTGTGGAGAGATTCTCTCAGCCTGTTGGCCTAAATCTCTGCATTTGCCAGAGGTAAAAAGTAAAGAAAGTGAGCAAGAATTCACCTAACGGAGTGTGAGAGAGAGAATATGAGATGGTTGTATGTGGGGAAAAAAGAATTTGAGTGAGCTTCCCTGATCCAGGAGATGAGAGCTTCAGATTGAATGTAGTGGGGCATTATGGGTATGTATTGACCAATAAATAGGTTGAGAGTCTAGACGGGTGGTTGGGAAAGATGATAAACCAGTGTTCAAAATTAACACTCACCATGCAAGAATCAAAATCGGCTTTGACGATTAAATAACACCAATAAAATCCAGTTAGTCTGTAACTTTATTAAAATCTGCAAATAATACAGTACAATCAAATTGTATGAATGATGGAGTGACCATTTAAATTAGCTTACAAAACCTCTGTTGCAACTTTTTGCAAATGTTGTGATGACTACTAACTACTTTATTTCAGTGGAAATTTATTTAAGTTTATATGGAAGGCCTATTTTTTTTTTCTTGGTGAAATAGCCTATTTCTTCCATCAAATTACTGAAATATCAAATTCTCAATACATCTTCATGTTTTTTGATTGCTAACGGTTTAGAAAGGTTGCTTAATTTTATATCGTCTTTAAAAAAAAATCTATTTTTTGATAGCTTGATGGTATGTCTTCATGTTTTTGTGAGTGGTGCAGTTTCATTGAGAAATGTTGCCTGGCTCATAAGTATATGATTTGTGTGACTGTATTTTAGTATAATTTCGTTTTCTGCAAGCACGCAATGATCTGTGCTGTTTGTCAAAGGAAACATGGCTAAATCATCTTGTAGTATCTGGCTGTGGTGTGAATGATATTGAATTTTTGCAATATATTCGCAATAATTTTGCTAACGATCTAAAACTAAGCACAACTTTGAATATTGGGATGTTTTAAAACTTTTTTTTTTTAACTGAACTTTGTTTTAAAAACTGAACTTTTTAAACCGTTTCCTAATAAACACATCATTAACTGTTACATTTCACAATTATTCCTTGACTTACAAGTACAAGACATTTTCATGTAACAGATTTTTATGGTGTTAAAATTCTTGCATTTAAACATTTTGAATTTACTTGGCGTGAAATAGTTTGAATATATTGAGCTACACAGTTCAAAAGTTTGAGGGCAGAATTATTATTATTTTTTAAATAAATTAATATTTTTATTCAGCAACAATGCAATAAATTGAGCAAAATTGACAGTAAAGACATTATAAATAAATATTATAATATGCATAATTAATGCTCTTCTTTTAAACTGAAAAATGAGGGTTTCCACAAAAAATTTAGAAATGTTTATTAAGCGTCATATCAGATCATATTATAATGATTTCTGAAGGATCATGTGACACTAAAGACTGGAGTAATGGCTGATGAAAATTCAGCTTTGCCATCACAGGATTAAATTACATTTTAAAATGTTTTTATAGACGACAGATATTTTTAAATTGATAATATATTTACAATATAATTGTTTTTACTGTATTTTTCATCAAATAAATTTTCGAAACATTCAAAAATCTTACCAACCCAAAACTTTGGAACGAAAATACATAATGTATGTCAGCCAGGTCTAATTGGCAAATGTGGTAAAATTTGTATTCTAAGGTGAATGTTTCTTGTGGCATGGGATAGAAACAGAGATGGAGGAAGGCAGTGCTGTGAAGGTATAATCACCCTCACGTTAGATCTTCTCCCATTTCAGTATGTCAACACAAGCTCTCCTGTGTTTGTGTGCAGCGGCGACTGATGTGAAAATAAGTAAAGAGAAAAGAGTCGCTCTCTCGATTCCTCTGTCTGTTTGGAAGTTGTTCCTCACTTTCTGACGTGTCTGATGTCGTGCTTCAGAGAGAAAGAGGACGAGCGGTGTGCGGGTTGGCCAAGCTCTTGTTTTGCAGGGAAAATGAGTGCATAATGGGTAAAGTGAAGTGCTGGGATGAGAGCGTGCAGGGAACAGGCACTGAGAGCTCTTCGGCGCTTTTGTTTCTGAGGGATAAAATAAAAATATGACTGTTGTCTGAAGGGTGCTCTCTGTAATCAAATGAGAGCCAAGGAGAGGAGAAGGTAGAAGCATTTAGCATAACCTGGTGCATCAAAGGAAATATGTTCTGTATATGGGCAGTTAAAGTCTCATCTTCCCTCTAATTCCTCAGATATGAGGCTTGGATGATTTATATGTGTAGT